ATATTCGCAAATTACGAACCCAAGTAGGCAAGAGAACCAAAACTCCAAATAAGATACCAAGTTTATTCGCAATTCACAAATAATCGACCAAAGTCATTCTAACAACAATAATTATAACAATTACAAAACAAACCTTCAATTTTGTAGGTTCCCGGAGCAAAAACTCCCAAATACCAAACCAATAACAAAAGAAACCAAAATGTCCGAAAGGAATGATATAAATAAACAGGTCCAAAGGTTAAGTAAAACAAACACATCCAAAAAAACAGTAAATTTGATGTACAGTAAAAAGTTTTAATCAGCTAAATGTCTTTAGTTCTCCCGTAACAGTAGTCATAAAAAAGGGATGGATGAAAACTCTCTTATGCTGCCTCCAACATTGTTTAGATGCTCAAACCCGGACACCTACGTATCTCACTTATTGCTTATAGCAGATAAATTAATAGAAAGAGGTCCCCAACTGCATCACGCATGATAAATCAAGTAAAAAAAGAATAACCATCAGAAGAGCCAGTCATAACAAGACTCGTTACGAGTGTTAAAAGTCTCACAGAGGCTGTTGCCAGAATGCAAATGGGTCATAGAGACATGAACAGGTCACCACAACAACCAATGTTCAAGTCATAGAACCGGTAAAAAACGTCCAGACAATCTGGACGTTTCTGTTGGTATCACTGGGAGTTCAGAGTCAGACCAATCAAGTGCAGCCAACCATGTGCGTGGCCTAAAAAGATTCTCAAGACTGTAGGAAACGAATAGCTGAGGAGATGCGCTTCAACAGTCGCTTCTTTTATGTCAGAGACCGAAATTCAGGTCTGAAGTTTTTAGTGGAAAATGGCTGTACTTAGTATCATTACTCAGAATGTAACCGGACTGGGTCCGTAAAATTTTCCAGTTAAATCTCAAGCTGACAACAAAACTAAAATCGCAACGTTTGGGTGGAGAACGTTGACGCCAGACTTGATGTTTAGGAGGCGAACCCCCTGGGTGTTTTCCGTAGCTGAATTAAAATTGACAATCCTCAGAAGGGACTTTTTAGAGAGATATGCATTTTTAATCAACACTATATGAAGATGTTACATAAAAGGTAAGGAAAGTCACATTGCCTATTTAAATTCGGTACAAACTCCTCAAATATCAACTGCGAAAAATAAAGGATATACTCGCGGAATTTCTGAACCCAAACGAACTGAACCCTCAGCCTTCCAACATACACAATGGATAAATCATACAACTGACACTGAAGGCGCACCTGTGTTTACTAGACCCTGAAAGCTAACACAAGATAAGCTTAAAGTCGCCAGAGCTGAATTTGACTACATACTACAACTGAGCATTCTTCGTCCGCCTGACAGCCTCTGAGAATCCCCTTTGCATATGATCTCATGGAAAAGTGAGGGCGATTGGCGACAGTGAGAGGATTACAGATCCCTCTACCGTTAAATCGTACCAGATAGGTACCTAGCACCTTATATTCAAGATTTTGCAAACGGCTTACAGGATATGAACATATTTACTAAAATTAACGTGATCAGGTTATATGACAATATCTCATCAGTCGAGGAAGATATCAATAAGACAGCTAATACTATACCTTTTGGACTGTTCGAGTTTGCACGCAAGCATTCGGCCTGAGAAACGTGAAACAAACACTTCAAAGATATATGGACGACCTACTTCGGGATATACCTTTTGCACACGGGTATATAGACAATTTGTTAATTTCCAGTCCGGGTTAAAAATCACACAGACAGCATGTGAGAGCAATGTTAGGATGACTAAATGCAAATGGAATGAAATCACCTGAAAATAAGTATGTTTTCGGTGTTCAAACTCTAGAATTTATCAGGCACACAATAAGCCCAGAACGGATTATACCTATCAAAGAAGAGGTGAAAATCGGAACATTTTAAGCTGACTTCTGAGGTTGGTAAACAACCGAATTCCCGTTCCTCAGTTGCACTGATGGTGGATGCTTTGGACAAAGCACTAGGCCTTATCGTGGTATAAAAACAAGGAAGCGCCGACTCAGTAAGTATTGATAGGCTAAGAAACCGCTTGTCCAGATAATGCACCATCATACATCTTAATAGACAGTTTACCTAACGAAACAATTACAGAATTGACAAGTAACAACCAGAATTCCCTATCGATGACCAAAACGTTTTGATGGACACAATCGATTATTCAGAGAGGGTTATCCACAGTTTTCGTTCAAGCCTAAAACCACTTATCTAGTAAAATTTCGGTTTAGTAGATTTTGTGACAAAAACAAAAGGGGAAGGTTTCTTGAACGTACCGTTTTTTAAAATATATAGTACCAAAATAGTAGTCTCAAGTAATGTGCTACTCGCACCTCTTCATATCTTACTTTCAGTGTGTGGGCGTTATATTCATTTTTATGCTGAGTACAAAAGCGCTTTATCCCTAAACAATCCACCGAGAAAGATAAACTGACAACATCATATTAGCAGTAGTCACAAAGAGACGAAAAATATCGTACTGAAGTAAGTGGTGAGGGCAGGTTTCGCTTGTGGAATTATTCATTTTTCTAGATTTTTCGACTTCTCTCTCCGTCACACTACGCATTGTCCATTTTGAGCTCTATAAACTCTTGTAATAAATAATATAGGGAAGTTGGAAAGTTAATTTCTCTGTTTCGCTCTCACACTTCTAATGTTTACATCTGGGCTGGAGTTTGGTATTCAGTTTCAGTTTGGAAAGGACAGGAGGCTTGATGGCCTGTGTTAGTCCTGGCAATGATGGTCTCTCAGTTGATCCAACTTTCTTTTGAAAGAGTCAACGGATGGAGCCTCAACCGCGTTCTGAGGTAATGAATTCCACTCAATGATTCCATTGGAAAGTCAATAGTCAGATGACAAGTAATTCATTCTGGGCTTGTGAACTTTATGGAGTGTCCTCGTAGATTTTTTGTTTTGGAAGACAAGAAAAATGAGGGCATATCAGGTGCAAATTTATCCCTAAATTTGAAAACTGTAATCAAGTCGCCTCTGGTTCTTCGATATGACAGCGAGAATAGGTTTAGCTTAGTCAGTCTAGTACCATGCGATAGCTTCGCTATTCCGGGCGTCAGTTTAGTCGCTGTTTTCTGAAACCTTTTCAAGAGTTTACTGTCTTATTTTAGGTAAGGGCTAGCAGCTTGTATGCAGTACTGAAGTTTAGGACGCCCGAATGCTGTATACAAAGTCAGAAACGTTTTATCGTCGAGATGACTAAAAGCCCTACGTAAGGTTCTAAAACCTTTGGCGGCTATTGCATGGCAGTGTGCATTGGTCTTTAAGTCTTGACTAACGATGACACCTAAGTCATTGTGTGTCTGGACAATAGGTAGCTCAGTGTTATTGATGGTGTATGTATCTGTACCTTGATGGCCAGTATTCATCACAATTTACTTGGAAGTATTTATCGGCAATTGCCAGGTTTGGGACCATTCAAATAATTTCTCCAGATCGTTTCGGAGTTCTAAGCTATCAACCTTACTTTGCATTGCTCTCCATATCTTGACATCGTCAGCATATAGCAAGACCTATGACGATAGTAGACGAGGGCGGTCATTTACGTACAAGAAAAACAACACTGGTTCCCAAACTGTACCCTGGGGGACTCCACTAAGCACAGTTTCCCAGCTGGACAACTTGGAGTTCACCCATACTCTTTGTTGACGCCCAACTTGGAAGTCTCTCATCCACATCAATAAATTGCCTCCAATCGCTACATTCCTTAGCTTATATAACAGCCGGTTGTGCGGAGCTTTGTCAAAAGCTTCGCTGAAGTCGGTGTTGACTGCGTCTACAGGTAACTTTCGGTCCTTAAGAGAGCATTAGCTTTCACAATCGACCAATAAGTTAGTGAGACAAGAATAACCTGCTCTAAAACGATGCTATTTCTCTGAGAGGATCCGGTTTTCATCGAGGTACTCTAACAGCTCCTTCCGAATAATCTTTTCTAAGATTTTACCAATCACACTAGTCAGGCTAATGGGTCGGTCATTCTCAGGTTTATGTTTTGTATCTGTTTTGAAGACAGGATTTACTATGGTGTTCTCCCAGTCTTTTGGTATATACATTGCTAAAGTATTTTGAGAATACTTGAGTTTAGCCAAAGTCGTCCTCCACTAGTGATGAGGCAGTACTGTCACCCCATAGTGAAGAGACGTTTCTTCTTTTCGTCCTTTGGTTTATATACGAATACAAGCGTTTAGGGCATTCTATAGATTTATTAACAATTTTCTCTTCGTACAGCTTTCTGGACTTACGAAGGGTCGAGGCACAGGTATTTTGAGCTTTTTGATACTGATATTTTGTCCCCAGTAACATAGATCTATCCCACATTTTCCTTCTTCTACGGAGAAGGATGCGAACCTCCCTACTGAACCATGGTGGAGAGTTTCTCGGCCTCATAGGTGTAGTCCAAGGGATGTGGGGTGTGGTGACTTGTAAGTATAAATTTCGAAATACGTCCCAAGCCGTTACGATTGAGGACTCTGGGTCTATTTTCCAATCTACTGATGATGCTGAGTGCATGATGTCTTGTATGTTTGCTTTGATTGATCTGACGTGTGCTCGTGATTGACAGTTATATAGAAGTCAAAGATTAAAACTGCATGATCAATCCTACTTATTGGTGGCATGTAATCCAGGTTCACAACGTCATCCTCGTAGTGAGTCAATATAAGATCTAGTAAGGATGATTAAGAGCCCTGGTCGTACCTAGTTGCTTCTTTCACATGTTGCACTAGGGCACATGTGATAACCGCATCAACTAGTTCCTGTTCGAAGGAATTATCCGTTGATTCAGTTCTCAGATTTTCCCAGTTTACCATAGGTTCATTAAAGTCCTCTTGGATTATCTAGTGTCAATCGCAATGAAGAAGCAAATGATCAAGTTTTGGGTTAAGAAAATCGCTTTTTCACGAGTAATCGAAAGAATTTGATTCACAAGTTTTTTGTAATAAGAACTATTAAAGCGATGCAGTAAAACAACTGTGGTAGTGAAAAGATACTGTCTTCAGTGCATCATTTAAATGTCTATGGATGCAAGGTCAAGGCTAGTTCAGGCTTTTAACGATTTTGGAGGTCGTGTTTCCAGTGAACAAATCCTCAAATTCATTAAAGATGATGAACTATTAAGCCGAGGTAACTCATTGCCCTTCTGTGTCTATTATAATGTTTTGTAACCGGATTATGGATTACTTCTTTTAAATAAGTTTTTTTGCACTTGAATAACAATGGCTGACATACTTATTTGTATTGACCATACCATTTAATTTTCATTTATAGTTTTGGAAAATGTGTCTACATAGTACTCCAACTACACCAACCACTTTGTTTAGGATTGCTACTGTTTTGCCATTTACCCAATCTCCCGATCTTAGCGAAAATTCTATCCGTTTTGGGGAAATTTTCGGGAAGCCGCAATCAAAAATTTTTCCGCGACTGCGACAAAAACCTTAAAATCTCCCCTGGTCAAAGCTTTTACCGAAAAAATATAAAGTCATTTTTGGGAAGCTTTGGATTTCCCATAAATTTTTCAGACATTGGGGAAATCTACAAATCATATGAATATGGAAAAGAACCTCAAAATTTCCAAAAATAACCCGAAATCTGGGGGTTGGGTAGTACTAACAATATAGTGATGAATATTTTTACTGGTAATCCCATTTCCATACCTTGAATAGTCACAAGCATACACATGGCTAGTGTTACTACCCGTTGTTACACAACAAATATATATATACCTTTCATTTTTTTATTCTCGAAAATGGTAAGTAGGGCTGCATGTTTTATTTCCTATAAGTGTCTTAGTAGAATTACTCAGTTTGTGGTTATCACTTCAAACTATTGTTCGGCAAGCAGAAATTCCAGCTCCTTAACACATACCTTTTGAAAAGTATTCTTAACTGAGATACACGTAAATAATTAAGTGTTTGCCGCTCTCTGAAATTTAGTTGTGATAGGTGGGTCCAAATATTCAGTCCATTGCTGGAATTGTGTTTATCTCAGGTCGTAGATTTTAAGGATAACAATGGTTCAACTGGATAATTTATTTACTACCACTGTAAGAAGAAGTTTCATCGCTTGTTTCATGTATTTCCCGACGAGTTTTATAAACACGTATCTTGAATTTGACTCAGATTCTACAAAACAATACGCGTCATTTCTTACGTTTAAATAAACTACTCAGTATCATTTAAACGTGATTCTCGTTTAGACTCTTGAATTTACATCACTGAACCATAGGTTGAACATTCTTTCAATCTACGGGAAGCATTATGAAACATCACACTGCAGAGATCGAAACCAGTCTACGTACTTACTCCTAGTTATTGAGTGGAAGTGGGTTACTTTTATTTACTTTGCAATTCAGATAAATTCAGTTTCACGAAGTGTTAGTATTATCGCTTCAGTTGTGCTGTTTGCGGAAATACTTTTTACCACACAGTGGTCATGTCAAGCTTATTAATAAGCAATCACTGTATTTTTGACCCATGGTGAGCACTTTGAATATTGGATGAAATTCTTGGCAAGACTATAATTTATGGACAAACCAATCAAATTTACAATAACAGGTCTTGGATTTCGGCTCGAAATTCCTTATCCGTTTGGCTAAATGGCGTATTGACATTTCACCTGATGTCAGTTCGTGATGAAAACCCGCAAACTGCATAAACAATCATAAAAATCCGTCCAGCGGTTTCAGAGATACAAGGATTTTCTCAAGATTTCATAGATCGACTGATCGGTTTGAGATTAATTCTGTTTTATATTGACGCACACGATCTCGGAATTGAAAAGAAGCTTAAATCACAAACATACGTCCAGTGGTTTCACAGATACAAGCGTTTGTGTAATTGTGTGATGTTTGTTTCATATTCAAGCACACATATGAGAGGAAAACTGCATAAACAATCATAAATCTAATTCCTAACCCTAACCTTTAACTGTAAATCACAATCCTTATCCTTCACATAGGTTTAAAACCCTCATTTATCCCTAGTCAGTAGGTCGACATTTTCAAGGCCACTTTAACGTCGCTCAAAGGTCGTCCATAAATGATAGTCTCACCAAATTGTTTTGTGTTAGGCCATTACGCCTAATCAGTCATTAATCAAAGTAGGTTTTTGGATGATTTTCTGTTGGTCCACGTCACCACACGGCACCTTCGTTCACACTAGCTACTTGGGTTGATTTTTCATGAATGTCCATTTGGCTGTCTGTAAACTGATTAGACATGCAGCTGACAATCCTCTCTGTTAGTTGTTTTTCCTTTCAGTGCCTTATGTTTCCAGTCATATTACTTCAAGTACTTTGCGTCTTCTAAATCCAAACTGCCTTTGCTAGACTGGCAGTAACCTATTTCTGCACCCACTTTTGACGGCTAGCCATGATAAATAGTTGCAAAGTTTTTTTATTCGGATGGGTGTGCTAATACTGGTAGTGGTGCAACGCGTAGTGAAAGCGAGAGCGGCTTATGAGAATCTAGGACATCCTTATAAACTTTGTGATAATGGTTTGGCTGTGAAAGGTGGGAGCAGTTCCGCTCTATGATTTGAAAAAATAGTCTCTCTGAGTTAAAGGTATTCGGCGAATCTCTGTGTTCAATCATCATTGTCCTTAAAGGATTGCTGACGTTCAGTGGTAATACTATATTAGTAATATAAGGTCCAACAACAAGTGTTCGAAAGCATTAGCAATTCAGTCGATCTTGTCATCTTGGAACAACGGTTAAAGTGGTTTGTGTATGTGTAATAAATTTCATCCCAGCGACCTCCATATTACGCTTTAGTTACCGACGCTTGAACTGGGTAGGGAAAGCGAAGGTGGCCAGTTTATAGTATAGTGCTGTGAGATTGTAAAGGACTGGTATTTTTCGTCCCGTCACGACTTCCTCTTTTGGACCCTATAGATTTTGCACCACTGGCTTTGGACGTTATCAGACATGGCTTAGAATAAAAACCAGTAAGTATTCTGCTGTAACTTTCATATTATTTACGAAAAAATGAGGGGATTTCAGTTAGCTAACACTATTAACTAAACGATATCTCATTACTTACTACTCTTGTTTACTTATTTACCTATTTCTCTCCAAATATACTTCCTTTCCTCCCTTTTTCTTCACAATGTAATTTATTCCACTAAATAAAATAAACAACTTTAAACCCAAGAGTTTTCGCCTCGAGTAAATCGATATTAAAAGTTTTTCACCTAACTGTTTTAGTTGTATATATTATGACCCGTTGAAAATTTCTGTTTCAGAAACACGGTATTCTGTTAAGAAACTAATTGCTTCAATTGCTGTGGTTGAATACGCTTCGGTAGGAAATCCATGATATTTTGTATATGGATTTTTTTATCAGGACAAAAAGAGGTATTTGGTGTTAAAAGATTTAGCTAGAGATAAAGAGAATCTAGCTTGTAATGTATGTGCACCCATTTGGTTTATTTATCTATCTATCAGATGTGTCAATCTACTCAAACAATAACTTCACAGTCTTCAGAAAACCAAAATGTTCCAAAATCAGCAGTAAGCTAATTAGGTTTTCTTAGAGACATATTAATTTCAGATTCTATCACCTCAAGAAAGTCAGTCAGCAAAATCTGTAAGTATATTGTGTAATTATCTATTTGAATTTGTTTCATGTCGATGTAAACTTTTAAAATAGGAAATAATTTCAATTGGACTGACTTTTAACTGATGATGTCAGTTTATGGTATTGTTATACGTTATGTATTAAAAAGGTAATATTGTAACCACCAACGCGTTAGCACTGCGTAAAATAGCTAAATAGGTATAGGATTTTCATATTGCATAATTTGGCTAAAAACGCCCGTAAATATGAACGTTTAAATATTTTCAAAATCTGTCCCTGTGCTATCCTGTGGCCGAGTTATGTGACTGACTGACTGTCCTTGTGCTTTTTTTTACTTGGTTCGCTTATGTCGTTGAGAGAGGATTAAATTTCTTTCGACGAGAAACCTTATTGTTCACAAGTAGATGGTTATAAGTTGGTTTAGTGTTTAAGACTTCTAACTTTCAACAATTGAATTTCAGGTTTAGGTCCCACCACACCCATATCGGTTCGGACAACTTTTTAGTATCATAATTCCTCACAGAATAAGTATATTTTAATGTTGAATATACGCTTTCACTTGATACCTGAGTTATTGGCTTCTGCTCTGAATCAAGCTACCAATAAATCTTAAATTTTGATTTATATATATATATATATATATATATATATATATATATAACGTAACTTTTCAAAAAGGACTGTGTATATGTGCTTTTCATATTATACTAGCCAGTGGCCCATAAAACACCTCCGTCTTCTCCTCAGTTAACTCCTACCACCACTATTACCACTCCTGCTACTTCTGTCAATGTTGCTGCTGTTCGTCCTTCTGTCTACTCTACATTTACTAGCAACGAAACTCGTTTATGGTGGATGGCAGTTATTGATTGTCGTGTAGCAGATATGAAACGTTTGCTAGGAATAAATCCTAAATTAGCTAATTGGGCTGTGAGTTATGCATTTTTTTGTTTAAAAATTAAAGATGAAAAAGTTTTGTTGAAAAAATCACTTTAATGATATTATCAGTTTAAGATTAGGTTTAGAAATAGGATAGTGTGATTAATATTAATATAACGAGAAAGCTTTCGCCTGCCTACGCAACTCAAGCCAACAAACAGTAGCATAATATACTTATTCTATGTCTTTGTTGAACTAAATATAACGCCTCCGCAACCTTCTTAAACTTTTGTTGGATAGCGAACACCTGAGTAATATGTGAGAGCTAGTTGAATGTTTCCTCAAATTAATTACTCTGTGGCTATTACAAGAGGATTTCTACCTTCACAAACTTGTGTAATCAACAATACAGTTTAATTAGATGGCATTACTTGGACCATCCAAACACTATAGCCCCTTTATACCATTTGTGTTAGAGTTAGAGTAGAATGCATTTATAATGTAATTGGAAGCCGGTCGAACTGTTTTTCAAAGTGTTTTGCTTATCCCCCAGTGACTTGGCTTAAAGATTAGTCACTGATCCATCTATTTTTCAGTGGCTGATTTTAGGCCCTAATTTATTGGATAGGTGTAAATAAGAGTCTATTGTTACTTGTTACCTTAGCATTTTCAGTTTCAATCAACTCCCGGTCAGAATAACTTTTTATCGATCTATTTGTTCCTTATTCGTTCATTGTCCTTTTGAGATTGAGAACCGACGTAGATTTTGTTGCTTTTGGTCTTAACACTATCCGGTCGACCTGTCTAGTATGACAGGAGTTGAAAAAGGAAGTTTTCGAAGTCTCTGTTTTATTTTTCCAAAATATAACTTCAAAATATAACTTTATCTCACCTACCACTAATTATATTAAAATATTGATGATTTATCAGTTAATAACTAAGTAATTAATTTTCATAGTGTGATAACTCAGATCATTTATGTACTATTATAAGTGTAAACTGTTTCGTAAATAAATAAAAAATCTGTATATAAAAAAATTATAATTAAAATAAAACTATTCATATTTAAGAGTAAGAATAGTTGGTCTATTACTCCTACCGGTTCCGTCCTACTTTATGGCAGGGAAAGATGACCGATAAAAGTAGAGGATATTCGTAGTATCGTGTCACTTTTCTAACCGACAATCCGCCGCTCCCTTTTTGGCGGTCTTATCGCGTCACACATCAACTAGTCATCCACTCGGCCACAAGCATAACAATTGGCGACGGAGATTTTGCAAACAAGTTGCTGACTAGCTATGGATCCAGTTAAATTAGAAGAATTGTTCAAGCAACAGCTGAAGCTGATGGAGATGTTTACTCAGACGCAGATCTCTTCTCGAGTCTCATGTACACCAACAATCCCTCAATCAGTCGACGGTATTACCAGTGGTATTTCAGAGTTTCTTTATGATCCTGATGCCAATATTACATTTGATACTTGGTTCAGACGTTATGAAGATCTTTTTAAAGTCGACCTTGCTGACAGAGATGATTCGTGGAAGGTGCGTCTTCTCCTTCGAAAACTTGGTCCATCAGAGCTTGATAAGTATTGCAATTTCATTCTACCGCAGAACCCACGAGACCGTTCCTTCGATGCCACTGTCCAAACTCGCAGTCAACTTTTTGGTGACCATCATTCACTTTTCAATACTCGCTATCGCTGTTTAAAACTGGTCATGAACGAGTCCGATGACTTCTTAACCCATGTTGGCTTTGTCAACCGTGAGTGCGAACGGTTTAAGCTCAAATCCCTTACCGACGACCAATTCAAATCCCTCGTATTCATATGTAGTCTTCAGTCACCCAAATTCTCCGACATCAGAACTCGATTGCTGAACCGCCTTGAACAAGACCCAACGCTAACACTTAATGCAATCGCCGACGAGTATCAACACATTGTCAACCTGCAGCGTGACACCACTTTGGTCCAATCTGGGGGCCAGGGTGTTTGCGAAGTTCACGCTGTCCAATGTCAGAACAAATCTCCGAGATCAACAACCTGTGGCCCTACGAAAGCCAGTGCTCCTTCTTTCTCTAATCACTCCAGACCGGTTCAGAAGTAGCCCCCTCTTCATGTTGGCACTGTGGAGCTTGGCATTACGTGAAATTTTGTCCATTCAAACAGCAGGTGTGCGATCGCTGTCATAAGGTTGGTCACAAAAGCGGTTTTTGCCAATCCCGTCGACCCAATAGTCGTCGAAATGCACAGACGCAACGTCGTTATACTAAAAAGCAGCTTCCGTCATCAAGGAGTTTAGCAGCAGTCTTTCACACTCATGCCACCACGCGACGCAAATTTCTAACCCTCTCAATCAATGCCCAGCCAGTTGGCTGAGCAGTTGGCGACGGGGACAAAAAAAAGTGAAAAATGACGCTCCCTTCTGACCGATTGCAGTTGCGATTTGACCGACATTTGGAGTTCATGGTCAAACTACGCACACAGTTTCTGGATCATCAATGCTTTGCATATGCGTTGGAAGTGGATGGATTAATCACTGAATTTCACGCAGAGCTGGAAAATGATCGCAGCCTTCATGAATCCTCGACAAGCCGTAACTTGAACGAAACAGCAGTCTCTCAAGAAAAGCCCAGTTGTCCATTCACGTCCATTTCAGAAACGTGCCCGGTAGTGGATTCAAACCCCACTATCCCTGAAGTAGCATGTCCGAACAGTGACGCTCTCATCAACATGATGCCATGTCAAATGCCCATGAAATGGTCGTACTAACCGCCCAAAAAGTACCAGACATAATATCGAGCAGTACACGGAGCGAATCGCATTCTGCAATAGAAATTTTTACCGAATCTAATGATAAAGATTCCCAAGCTTGTCCAGAAAATTTGTTACATGCATCAAATCTGGAACCTAGCGCAGTTTTGGTGGACGCTGTTTATCATAGTGATCCACAACCTGCCTGTGATGTTTGCAATAAGTCTAATGACTACATTTCTGCAGAATCAAATTGTGACCTCACATCAAATGTCGATCCTCAACATCCAGTCAATCTTAGCAGGTTCCCTATTGAATGCCAGAAACATGTTATAAATAGAATCGCATTAATAGAAACTTGGGTATATGAGGATCCAACACTATTTCGTGGGGAGGAGGAGCTCGGATTTCTCAAAAAGGGGAGGTGTTATATCCCCCGGTGAATTACGAATGTTAACCTTTAGGTCTATTTATCGACCAATGTATTATGCCTATTTCATATTGTACAATTGTTACGTAACTAAGCTATTCATATTCGTGTTTCTCTTATCATGAGCTTTATTTTGATCTTTGATTTATTATCATACGATTCTTGAGTTTTACTCAGTAATTGATTACTTTGGTTTGGCTGCTCAGTCAGTCAGTCAGTCAGCTACAACGTAGGTCCAGGCACATATATGCATCGGTCCAAGTTGCCATACCTCGTTAGCACAACAAGATGAACACTGGATTCATAGAAGTAATTAATTCAGTGGTGGTAGTAGTATGTAAATTATAGGTTGTATATAAGGATATAGTACAGGAAGAAAGAGAGATATCGTAGGCTGCTAGTATTCGATCATAGGTTTCTTCGAAGCATTTCTCGTATATCTTGGGACCACCGGGTAAGTAATGCAGTTGTTAGGAAACGGGTACTAAGTAAGGATGGCAAATCGATTAATGAAGTAGTGTAACTTCATCAGTTAAGATGGCTAGGACATGTGTTACGTATACCCAACCACCATCTGCCCCGACGTGCAATGTTTTATGGTGTAGGAGTCAGTTGGAAGAAAGCTATGGGCGGCCAGACCGAAACGTGACACAAATCCATGAAGTCACTGACAATTGGACTGAGCCATGTTGGTAGGTGTAGACTACCTGGTTGGAATCCGCGAGATGACAGCAATCGATGGCTAGAGACTCTGAATGACATGGCTGAAAATCGTTTGCAATGGCGAAGGTGTATCCACTCTTTGTGTTCTACCAACTTCTGAATTCCTCATGTCTCTATCTTTTTCTCTTCCCAAATTTATTTCACTCCTTGAATAACATCTTCGAACCGTAATCTTTCGGATTACTGCTTATACTCTTACTACTTCTACCACTATGGGATTTGAATCGCCAACTGGGTCTCTGTTCTAATGTGGTATGGCAACTCTAACTGATGTACATACGTACGAAGTTCTAAGTTGTGACTGACTGACTGACTCTCCTACCGGTAACAATTTTCAACCATGTAATCTAATATCTTCAATCGTGATTAAAGAGTTTATGATTCTTTATATTGATTTTATTGAGTAACTAGTAGTTGATGCATAGATAATTGTAATCGATTAGAAATGAAAAAAAAACATAACAGAATTTATAGGATATGGATAAATAAACATGCAATCAACCTGATGTATACGATTTTGGAAAAGAAGATTAGAAAGTTATGTATAGAAACCATTTAGGAACTATTTTAACTCATTGTCCTAAGGGTCTTTAATCTTACGAATTTTAAACGGCAATTTTGAAATTGGATACATGATTAACTAATATTTATCGTTAACTTTTTCTTGGAAGTCTAACATCTACTAGTTTGTATACTATGTACCTTCTTCCAGTAGTGTTGAAGTAGGCAGCATAATATACATTAAGATATATAATTAGCTTTATTTATTACATAGATCAATGCTTGATTATGAAAACGTTAACCTCGTGTTCAGTTAGAAGTATGAGGTCATTATTCACTTTCCAATTGCCTATACGGTAAAAAAATACTTCTCGAGGTACCTGAAAGGAAAACTGTGTTTTTAGTAGTCTTGACGACCTAGTGGCAGAAGCACAGTCCCTAAGTGAGAACTTCTGAAGACCAGTTACATGCAGTCCTTTTAGAGCAGTTTTAGATGAGTTAGGTTCGTAACTTTAGGGTTTGACTTCTGAGGACGGAGAGTCACGTGATCCATGGGTAAGATGAGATGTTCTGTTCTGAAGATCTACCTTTAACTCTTCTCATTACCAGAAGTCAGCATCTCTGAAAATGTTGGTTTTCTGAGAGAAACACTTTGCTGCCATTATATCCAAATACGGTCAGCTGTATGACTTCGCCCTCGGACCACGAGTTTGCTACTTCTAGTCCTACTGCTCTAAAACTGGCTTAAATGAACAAGTGTTCCAGCCAATATATACCTCGATTAGGTCATCGCGATATTCAAGTCTGACTATCTCGTTAACGTATCATCTACGGTATGGATATATCAATGTATTTCTACCGTGTCTTCTAATATTTGAGAGAAAATTTTGTCAACCAGTCAGGAATGATCATGATTAAAACTGTCTGTCTTTTGTATTCATTCAACTCCCATCTGTTTCATCTAGCATGATAGTAGATATTAATTGAACAAGTATACATGGTACATGTTCTAGTGAACTCGTCAATTAATACTTCATAATCTCATTAATTAAGTCATTTTAGCTTTAAAACCCTGAGTTAAACACTAATAATTACATGCAACTCCTTTACTGAATACAGGTTTATCTGCTTAACTTTATCCTACAGTGAATTATATAAGGAATTTCGGTGATCCTACTCGATTCATTAATCTGCAATAGGATTCTAACTTGTGGTTGTAAATCAACTGCTTTATAGCTACTAGGCCACAACTTTAAACTGTCTACTCACCGTCGATTTAACTTATATTGGGATATTGTCTAAAGACATCACTAATGGTGAAATAGGGATAAGATTGATTTGTTAGTTGTGATATATATCACCATACAACTCTATTAGAAGGTTTTATTCCTCCTTCAACATCTCATTAATGTTTCTAGATAAGAGAAGAAACATAAATATACTTGTTCCATAACAACTTCACATGGAAGTCTGATCAGCCCTAATGGGTTGGTGTCTGACGAAATCTCAGCATGGATTCAAAAGGCTTGTTTGGCTTTTGCCAACTTACATCACCTATGGCGAAGGCGAGATATCCGTCTATCAATTAAGGGACGAGTATACTGCGCAGCAGTCCGTTTTGTTTTACTTTACGGTTGTGAAACATGGCCATTAAGAGTAGAAGATACTCGTAAGTTACTAGTATTTGACAACAGATGCCTTAGAAATATTGCTCGCATCTGCTGGGATCACCGGGTAAGTAATAGTGAGGTTAGACTTAGGGTATTAGGGAATGATGGTAAGTCAGTTGATGAGATCATGAATCTTTATCGACTGATATAGTTGGGTCACGTGTTACGTATGCCTGAACACTGATTACCACGATGCACAATGCTGACTAGTGTAGGGGATGGTTGGAAGAGAGTCAGGGGCGGTCAAACCAAAACGTGGCATCAGTGCTTGAAGTCACTAACTTCTGGTGTGAGACATGTTGGTAGATGCAGACTACTTGGTTGTGGTCCGCGTGACTATCGTAACCAATGGTTGGAGACTCTAGTTGACATGGCTCTGAATCGATCACAAACCTTAAGATTAAAATTGCTTCATATCTGTCTTTCTTCCTGCACCATATTCTTTTGTGCAACCTTTCATTTATATATTACCACCACTAAATTAACTACTTCTATGAATTTGGTGTTGATCTTGTTGTGCTAACGAGGTATGACAACTTGGACCGATGCATAAAATTGCCTGGTCCTACTTTGTAGCTGACTGACTGACTAACTGTTCCATATGTCAATATGATGAAAAGCTTTGTTTAAGAGAGATAAACAGGTTTATTGTCATTATGTAATAGATATAGATCCAGTTTTGTTACAAAATGAGTTTAAAAAATGTCATTATTATTATCATAACTAATGTTGCCATTATTACACATACGCTACAAGATGACCATTCAAACTTGTACTAAATAACCACCAGGTTGTTTATGACAACTCTAGTTATTGATCAGCTATTAATAAATGTTAATGAATAATGTTATATGATTGAGGCCAATCGATCTAAGTTTCATGTTAGTTAGCACTTTTATCAACGAATGGGCTTGAAATATTAAAGGAATTATTAGTCTTTTAATGATTAGATCAACAATGAGGTCTGAATACAACGTGATATTAGTTACTTACTGTTCAATGATCAAACTACTTGACACTTGTGTTATTTAGACCTAACCATTGCCCAACCCAGTGATCTATGCTAGCTGATATAAAAGTGGGTTGAAAGGTAAAAGCGACCAAACCAAAACGTGACATCATTTCATGGAGCCATTGGTTTTTTGTTACGAGGGTTGTTATCAAATGCGAATCACTTGGTAGGGATTCAGATAACAACTATAATTAATGGTTGCAGATGTTAGATAACACGATTCAGAATCGGTTACAATGATTCAGATGCATTTACTGTTTTAATGTAGATCATGAGTTCGAACATTCCTCTATACATACCTTTTTCATCAATATCAACACTACTATCATGAGAGTAATAATCATTTTGTCGGTAACACTCAATATTTTTTCAAATACTTTCCACGTTTCTTTGATTTCCTGCAGTAACCACTATGGATACTTATAGTTTTCCTGTCTCTTTTACTTTAATACTTTACGTTGACATGTAGGCTCGCAAGATACCGATAACGTATTATAACTGTAAACCGTACACAGGTTCTGTGTGTATATACACACACGCGCACAACGATATACCGTTAGTTCATTCACTAAACTGTAAATACTTAGTAAAAGAATATATGCCAGATCATGTCATTATTACCTAGGGTATCTGTTGAACAGGTTAATGTCTATCTGGATTCGGAAGCTCAGTGAATAGCATATTGGTGTTTAAAGCAAATACCTTAGGTTCAAGCTTTAAAGAAAAAAAAACTCGAGGATACGGATACATCCATCTGATGAATCCTAGTGTTAACCATGAGTGATCTATTCCAAACTCACTAGGTTACTTTCATTCTAGATTGAGAATTATCAGAATTTTAGTCCATAATTTGGTGTAATCATTACTTTCTGATAAGCGTTTTTTTTTAGCGAGTTAGCTTTTCTACGGGATGGGGTCGTTAACTCCATGTCCCCACCCTCCTCCTTTACCCGGGCTTGGGACCGGCAGTAACTCTAGAAGAGCTACAGGCAGAGTTTGATGTAATCATTATTTAGCGTTTATTATTATTTTATTTAAATTTTGGTAAATATTAATCTGTCCCTATTGAGTTTTCTTTTTCTGATTTTGACATATTTAAATTTCTCTGTTTTATGTTTTATTTTTTTCTGCATTATAACAGGATCCAGTGAATGGTGTAAGTTCATGTTTTTTTTCTGTTTGTATACTTTGATGATTCATTCGATGATTGACTGTTTAATACCGAATGGAGTCTAGATTTTAAGTCATCATTCATGTATCCGGGAGTTAATTTTTTTATCAATATAAACTCAATATGGCTTGATAAACTAATTGATGAATAGTTTGCGTGATACTCCTTGTTTGGTCATCAGTAGTAATCGTCAGTATATAGATCTAAATTAGGTTAACTTCTGGTTTGCACTTATTCATCTAATCTTAGGGCAATTGACCCCTTTTTCCCTAGATCTGATCTCTTCAGACTATAGATAAATTTCCGTAAGCTAATACATACATCTTCCTAATGGTGTTTATGCCAATTAACATAAAATCTGGATTTACTGCTTCATCTACTGACTGGTAACAGTTTCCGATCTGCTGAACGAAAGCGGAATGGTCTAGTTAATATATAAGTCACTACATTTTAAATACTCATCACCTCAAATGATAGCTCAGCTTGACCATCAATAAACGAAAAATTATAGTGGATTTGGCTCATAAGTGTAATTATTATACATATATCTATTCCAATCAGGATTCAACAGAAGCTTCCGAGAGTATTTTAGAAAAACGATAGACTGTATCATATCTTGATTGTGGGATCCCTGGTTTTGTAACTTTATTTTACATGCTTTCGGAAGCTTCAAGGAGGTTATGATCACACATGCAACTATAAATATCCTTGTTTTCTGTACTTAAAATAACATTGAAATTGAAGCTTCTTTTCAAAGTTTCCACTTTTTGCTTTGTATTCGTGGCTCATATATAATAAAATTCTGCGGGGGGGGGAACTAATAAACTGTTAGAAATCTTGTATCAAACATTCAAGTATCAGACATTATCAGAATGTCTTTATATATCTTCACAAATGATTTCAAACTGAAAACAAAAGGTCTCTGTAATAATGAGTAAAATGATTGTATCAGTAGACAAATTGATTCATTACACTCTAATGACAAGCGATAGTTATCATTTATAAACAGTTTATATTATTCAAGCAATACTTGTGTTATAACTCCTTTTATTACGATCCAGCTATTTCCGTTGCTTAGTATTCTTGGACACCAAATCACTTGACAAGTCTCCAAATCAGAACACGGTTGAATAGGAACAAAATCATATTACAAATAACAAGGAGAGATGGAAGTAAGAAGCACAATAAGAAAAACGTTAGTATATTTATAGTTTTTACACGTGAAGATTCAGGAGTCTTCCTCAAGTATCCACTAGCTCTGATTGGTTAGGGAACAGTCAATCATCGTGCCCCAACATATTCCTGCATGGAACGTGTTTTAATCCAATCTATATTCCTTTAACAACTTTACATTTAAGTTTACGCTTATTAAGAATATTGAGCTGAATCATAATCCTGATAACCTTTTTTAGAGAGATTATTTCTAGCTAAGACGAATATATGGGCTTCGGTTTTGGTGCCCAGACAGTATGCTAGCCCTCATACAAATCATTTAATCTGTGTGACGCATATATATTTGATGCTTCCTTGTACCAATGTTTTTTTGGTAATAATCCATTCTCTAAACTAAATGTATTCATGGAGAAAGTTTCATTAATCAACTGGGTAACACATTATCAACATGAAATCTCCAAAAGAAGCAATCCATTAAGAAGAGTTCTTCACAGATAATCAACACTTTATTCTGTACAATTTGTGACAGTATCATTATTTATTACATAATTCATTATATTTTTTATATTGATAAATAGTAACCTGCTTTGGCTTGATCTTCCGGGCAGTATTCCAGCCTTCATACAAATCGAATGACAAAGTGTGGCGTATATATATTTGGTACTTCCTTGTACTAATGTTTAAATGTCTAAATAAATATAAATAAATGTTTCTTTTGGGAGTTTCTATGTTAATAATAATACTTTAAACAGACAATGATAATTATCAGAAGGGGATTTTGTGGAGATTTTAGTAATTTTATATAGTTGAAATCATGAGAAACAGTAACCAGTGGAGTTCAACCAGGTCTGTTGGGAGATATCAACTCACTGAATACATTGGTGAATGGTTGCTCAACCTTGCGGATTGGTTGAAGTTAGAAATTAACACCGTTGGATGCCGGCTGACTCAGTGGTCTAGTGGTTAAGCGCTAGCACACGAGACTGATAGGTCCTGGGTTCGAATCTCGCGAGTGCGGGACCGTGGATGCGCACTGATACTGAGGAGTCCCACTATAGAACGAAACGGCCTAGAAGCAGTGCTTCCAGGTTTTCCATTGTGGTCTAGCTTCATTTAACTCATGATTTCAACTATATAAAAAGACAATGATAACTTCAAAATTAAGCTGTTCATATCAAAGAATACAATGACACCATTTAAATCATTGGTACTTTATAGAATAGAATTATTCCTATCATTATTTTTATTGTTTAAGAGAAAATTTATACTATTCTGTATATATATTCATAATGTTTGTATGTTTCTTGCCTTTGTTTCCCTACCTCCCATTTGCATATACAATTCATGAAAATTGAATATGGATTATTCTAGTGGGTAAGTCTTGTTCTGTATTTTATCTTTTGTTTTTATTGGTAAGTAAAGTAAGATAATTTGTGTAAAGATTATAGAATGGTAACGTAGCTGTTAAAATACAGTCAACTTTTAACCATTAAGTCACAGGTTTGAATCCTTATCCATCATCCTTTGAGTTTGGGGACTCTTTAATAACTGATGCTCTCTGTTTGGATTTAAATCCCTATCACCTAACCATAGAGTAAGAAGGATAAGTGGTAAGTTATTCTGACCACCATTAATCTTACTCTTTCAGGACTAAGATATCTTTATTGATTGGTTACTGAATAGTGACCAATCTGATCATATCTACTCCATATTCTACTGATCACATTCAGTTTGTCAAGTCCCAACATAGCCATTAGTTTAAGTGACTCAACATCACAGTTTACTTTGTTCAAATAGTTAGAGGCTATCAACAAGAAGTCTTGATTGAGCTACATTTCGTGCTCGTCATTTTGCTTTCAGAGACTGACTGTAGCTAATTATATCGACTTTGCTTTTGTAAATGGCTTTCGTGACGATGTGATCAAGTCATATTGTCTGAAAAACTTTTTTCCAAGGTTCCTAATATGTCAATCAGTAAATCTAAAGTACAAAGACAACAAATTACTGACTTTTCTCAGTTGTAGCGGAAGCGAAATTTCCTCCTGGATTCCCAGCATCCCTAGAAATAGAAGAGGGATTAGAAAAAATCGACTCTAACCAATAAGCTTAATAATCAATATGTATAACCGATCTAACTTACTTTAAGTAGTACTCTACCAAGTGGTATTCATTTTCTTTAGTGAGTATATTAAACTACAAATCACATCTCATATATAAAGCTCATCAATACAATTGTGGCATATAGATAAGTGTTAGAGGAAGTTTGACCTATGAACTTAGTGATTAAAAGCCCCTAAATGCCCTGGTACGGCCGAGAATGGGGAGAGTCCGCTCTCCCTCTTGAAATGCTCTCATATGGCCACGCGTATATAGCCTCTACCAGGGAAGTTCTACTCACCGCTTTCTCGTGGCGGGGGTGTTGTTTACAAAATTGAGAGGACGGAAAGCGAATGTCCGTCGCTTTAACCGGGTTGGTGGATATGGAGGATCTACCTATGGAAGTTGGAAAACCCTGATTCCAAACCAATAGTGCACATGGGCTGACTCCAGTATCCTGAGGGAACAAATGGCGTATGAATCAATCGTTGGTCACCGACTACTATGGGACTGCATCTCCTTACGATGCTCCACTACCTTATGGATCAGATCTTTAGGTCAAAGGCTCTGGGTGTGGCTCCCTAAGAAAGCCACGTGCTTCAGTTTGGGCACCTTGACAGTACCACAACCCTCACACAAATCAAATGAGATTTGTAAGGCGCATATATATCTGGTGCTTTCTTGCACCAATATTTATGTGTTCAAATAAATAAATAAAGTGATTAAAAGAAATAATAAAACATTGTTGTACTCTACTTGGCTTCTTATCTCTTTTTCCCCCAGTTCAAAGTGCTATTCATATTTCCTATTAATATATTTTTCTTTTTCACTTATACATTGTAGACTGCATTACATTACGCAGCAAAATTTGGTAATATCAACTGTATGAAATTATTGATTAATCAGTATCATGCTAATGTAAATATACGAAGTAGGGTAAGTTAGGTTGAGAAACGAAGTATTATTATATACATATTTTGATATCCCTTTATATCCTAATTGTTCTTCCTTTTTTGTTGTTGTCGTAACTGATCATGTTGTATGGTACAATGATTTGCCTTTAATTGTCATTCTGAGTAGTATTATAAATTATACACTGTTATCATTTCAACTTGTTTACACTCCCAGCTCTATCGGATCATTGGATTACAGTTGTTTAGTGATCCGTTCACTTTATTTCTATCTAACCAATGACTATACTTCAATCAATAATACAAATGACCGTGACAACAACCAGGGAACTACTTTATACCTGTTAGTTAGTTCATGAGCTTCTCTTTTCAGTAGTTAGTAAGTAGACTAAAATCATATTATAGTGAACCTTCTATTGATACGTTGTCCTCTTGACTTGACATGGCCATAATGAATCATAAGTGAAAAAATATAGTCCCATACACAACTAAGTTATATATTATCCAAAAACATAACTGAACACTACTTACTTACGCCTGTTACACCTCGTGGAGGAGCATAGGCTGTCCACCAGCTTTCTCCATCCAACCCTGTACTGGGCAATCTTTTCCAGTTTTTTCCAGTTAACATTCATCCTTTTCATATCCGATTCTATTTCTCAGCGTAATGTGTTCTTTAGCCTTCCTCTTTTCCGCTTCCCTTCCGGATTCGAAGTTGGGGCTTGCCTCATGATGCACTTCGGTGATTTCCTTAATGTATGTCCTATCCACTTCCAACGTCTTTTCCTAATTTCATCTTCAGCTGGAAGCTGGTTTGTCCTCTCCCATAAAGCGCTGTTGCTGATAGTATCCGGCCAGTGGATGTTGAGTATTTTGCGTAGACAACTGTTTATAAATACTTGTGCCTTCTTGACGATGGATGTAGTAGTTTTCCATGTTTCAGCTCCGTACAGTAGGACTGTCTTAACGTTCGTATTGATGATTGTGACTTTGATATTAGTTGACAGTTGTTTTGAATTGCATATGTTCTTCAACTGTAGGAATTTCGCCCTTGCTTTGACAATCCTTGCATTTACATCTGCATCCGATTCTCCCTGTTTATCAATGATGCTTCCCAGTTAGGTGAATGTTTTCACCTCTTCCAGAGTCTCACCATCAAGTGTGGTTGGGTTGGTGTTCTCCGTGTTGTATTTGAGAATCTTGCTTTTTCCTTTGTGAATGTGGAGGCCTATCAATGCAGAGGCTACTGCTACATTTTTTGTCTTTGTCTGTATTTGTCCGTGTGTATGAGATAGGACGTCTATGTCATCTGCGAAGTCCAAATAGTCTAATTGATTCTGATATGTCTATTGTATTCCGTGCTTTTCCTCAGATGTCGAAGTCTTCATAATCCAATCAATCACCAGAAGAAAGAGGAAGGGGAAGAGTAAACAGCCTTGTCTGACTCCGGTCCTTACTGAAAATGCATCTGTCAGTTGTCCTCCATGCACGACTTTGTATTGTAGTCGGTCGTATGAGTTTTGGATAATGTTGACAATCTTTTGAGAAACTCAATAGTGTCGAATAAGTTTCCATAATGTTCACTGGTACGCACTGTCAAACGCCTTCTCATAGTCAATGAAATTGATGTATAGTGACAAACTCCATTCAACTGATTGTTCGATGACGATCCATAGTGTCGCAATTTAGTATGAACTGAACAATAGATCCATAAGTAGTTACCAATAAGTTAGAAATGAATAAAATGTATTGAATAGTTTTCACTTTGATCTATAGTTAGTATAGGTTACCTAAATATAAGATATTAATTATAATACTCATTATTGACTGATGTTGAATATTATAGTTCAAAGTTAGTTAGAACAGTGTAGATCTATTTGTTTCTTACGGTATTTCTTTTTTTTTTTGGATTTTAAGTTTCGAAAATACAGTACAGTATCGATTATGATTAATTGAGTAGTATAATGAAGATGTTTTAAGTCATTATGAAGATGTCCTAAAAGATCTCCTACTTAATATGCGGTTACAAAATCTTGATATAATTAAGCACCAATAAATGCTTTATTATTATTTATAAGCCATTCATCATTAAAGAGTCAGTTCTATGGTTAAAATGAAAGGTACTTGTTGGGTACGTTAGAATCCCAAAGAACTCACTTGGTAAAGTTCCTAATTTTGTAATTTTATTTTGAAAATTTGAATTTTGTGTTTTTGCGCCAAGAGATGCTTAATTGACCTACAGCTTATATTTCTCACTCGGGAATCCTTGACTGTTATTGGTTGATGGATTTTTTTAGTAAGCTACTTTGTGGCTCTTCCATTGTATAAATAAGCTTGATTTGTGTACATAATGACCTCGTATTTTCTGTGTGCTTATAGAATACATTCTCTACGCGTCATCAAGACTTCTTGATCTAGTTATCAGGGGTAAGGACAACGGATTAGAATAGCCTATCATGTCATTGTGTCATTGACTTTTGTTCCGTTTACCGAGTAATGTGAACTTGTAATAGCATTAAGCATATCGCTACTAATTTGAAATCTGGGTTTTCGCTATCTCACTAATTGAGGCCTTCTATATCTTTTTCACTTCTATGAGTGCCAAATATCTATTTCACAATTTTAAGTTTACCAGTGAAAATGATAAAACAGAACCTCATTCTTTAGTGAATCATATAAGTATATAGAATTCCCAGAACAAAGTATCTCAACAGGTTCAACAGATTTCGCTTAGATTCAGAAAGCATAAAATTGGACTGTCAGTAGACATCGAAGAAATGTTCCTCTAGGTACATCTACCTGAAAAAGATACAAGGGCCTTCAGCTTTTTATGGTATCCCGATGGTAATCTTGACTCTTCTCCTGAGGTCTGTGAGTTGCATGTACACCCTTTCGGGGCTACGTCCTCACCGTTTTGCGCTACTTATGCTTTAAGACGTACAGCTGCAGACCACCGAGATTTGTTCGATGAAAAAACACAGTCCACCTTACGACAAAAGTTTTATGTAGACGATTGTCTGGTCTCATTAGAAACAATGTCTGAAGCTGCCGAGTTAGCAATTGAGTTGGGAAAGTTGGTTAGAAGCAGTTGCAGGTGTCAGAGACCTAAGAATACCACGATGTCTCAGTATTGAGTCGTACGATAAAGGGCAGATTTCTTTACATCTGTTTTCGGGTGCTTCGGAAAGCGGTTATGGAGCCGTAGCCTATATGAGATTACAATATGATGCAAGTATAACGAGATGTAGCTTCATCCTAGGCAAGTCTAGAATAGCACCCCTAGAATTTATCAGTGTTCCTCGCCTTGAACTACAAGCCGCAGTACTGGCGGTGAAGTTGATGAGGCAAATAGTAGAAGAGATAAAGCTAAAGGATATGACTGAAATCTACTTCTGGACTGATTCTATGATAGTATTAAATTACATACTTAATACGACGTAACGTTTCAAGACATATGTAGCTAATAGAATTAACTTTATTCACGAACGAACTAGGCCATCTCAATGGAAGTATGTACCATCATCCATCAATCCTGTTGATCTAGCTTCCAGAGGAATATGTAAGTATGACCCTAACTGTATTGAAGCTTGGCTTTCAGGTCCCAAGTTCCTAACGACTGAGAAGGATAAATGGCCTGAGTATAGACGAGAAGAAATATTAAAACTCCCAGTCGAGCTAGAGTTAAAGAACGCCACAACTTTGGACACCATGACTACAGTTTTTTCCCTTGATACATTTATATCATATTTTTCGTCATGGATTAAACTCAAACAATGCACAGCTTGGCTCATCAGATTCAAACGTTACCTCTACAATAAAACGATCGTAAAGGGGGCCCTTACGCTTAACGAATTGGATAATGCCGAAAGAGACTTATTAAAATATGTACAAGAGCGAGAATTTGCGGAAACTAGACAATGGATTAAACGACACAAGCATTCTGATAACATTCTGTCCAAAGATCATGTTATTAATAATATAGAGTGGTACTACAACACCCCTTACGCAAGTCATCGGGGAGGGATATGGGAAAGATTTATAAGGAGCATACGTAGAATTTTGAGTGCTGCATCTGGCGAGCAAACTATGTCCTACGAGACAATCACCACTTATTTGACCGAAGTAGAAAGAATACTTAACGATAGACTTAACAGTTCGTGAATAAAGTTAATTCTATTAGCTACATATGTCTTGAAACGTTACGTCGTATTAAGTATGTAATTTAATACTATCATAGAATCAGTCCAGAAGTAGACAATTAATATTGAATGATCGCCAGTTAGATGTTAGCAGTTCAAGAATCGACATATGAATAATGTTCATTCTTTTCAATGCACATTATTAGCCATCACGATGTCTCTGATTGGTCTTTTCCTTGTAACTTGTACAGTGAAAGGTTGTAGAATTTTCATAAACGCATCTGAATAGATTATGTAATTATTTGAAATGATTATCTGTTAAAACACAAAAAGTCAGATAACTTGTTGAAATATCTGACTAGATGATAGGAACAGATAGCCCAGATATTCAAGCAGGCTGCCAATAATAATAATACTCCACTATTATCTGATGTTATCACAATGACTCCATAGATTATTGTGCCCAGCTCTCTGATATGAACCAAAACTCTCAAAATCATGTCAGTCAATCAGTAAGTGACAACGTAGAACTTCGTATGTACGTACATCAGTTCGAGTTGCCATACCACATTAGCACAGAGATGCAGTTATCGATTCAAATCCCATAGTGGTAGAAGTAGTAAAAGTAGAAGCATCATGTGAAAGATTAGGGCTTGAAGATGTTATTCAAGGAGTATAATACAGTGGAATAAGCTTGGAAAGAGAAAAAGGATAGGGACATGAAGAATTCTGAAGAACACAAAGAGTGGATGCACCTTCACCATTGTAAACGATTTTGAGCCATGTCATTCAAGGTCTCTAACTATCGGTTGCTATCATCTCACGGATCCCAACCAGGTAGTCTACACATATCAACATGGCTCAGTCCAATTGTCAGTGACTTCAC